TCTATCTATCTATCTATCTATCTATCTATCTATCTATCTATCTATCTGTTGAAAGGCTGGAAAATGCCTTTCTTCTGGGGGTTCGGTTTTCCTGCTGGGAGCACTCCAGTGCAAGGATTCAGACAACTACTTGGAAGCCGGTTTTTTTTTATTTTTCAGGAAGGCGAGAGATAGCAAGAAGTTTGCGTTCCTGGAGCTAGCTCTCTTTGTATAATAAAAACCCTGATTTTTATACCTTTTTCTCCTTTTGTGTGTGAGTGCTTGTGTTTGTATTTCTTAATGTTTTAAACCCTGTCATTTCCGCTGGAGGGTAAACTCCGTGGGGTGCAGAAGGCAAGCTTTGCAGGGTAGTTTGATTGGATTATCAGTTTCCTAATGTTTTCTTATATTTGTTTTGTGGCAATCTCCTGTCTGTCTCCTTTGCAATATATTTTGTGTCTTTTGTCTGTTTGTTTAGCTGATTTGGCATGTCTTGTGTTTGTAAGGGTTTTCTTTTCTTGTTTCCTTAGTTTTCTTAATTATTTGGGCTTTTGTCTAAGGGGCTTCTTTAATACCTTTTATTTGATTCCTTTTCCTATGCAATTTTGTTTTATGGCTGGCCTGATGTTCCCCTCGGGCTTTTCCTGCTTGGGTGTCACCACTGTCCTCATGAAGTTCCCTTTCCACATATCTATCTATCTATCATCTAAGGTTGTTCCTTACGCCAAACAAATATGGATACTGACAACTTTATTAATTTGGTGGCCTTATTTGTCTAATTAGCTAAGTTACTCCTTGCACAGTTTCTTACCATGAATATTTCATTTCTATTCTAATCCTGTTGAAAATGATGAAACTAGGCTTACCTTTATTCTACTTTATTTTCAGTTAAATCATCCTTCCTCAAAAGTAGAGGCTTGTAGTCAATGACCCATAGTTCTGATGCCCCTCCCATTCCACTCTTGCATTCATTTTACTAGTGCATTTTGATTAAATCCTTTGTTTCTCTTCCCAACCCTTGTTGCAAAGGTCTTTTCTGTGTCAGAGCTAGACTTCAATGAATTGTCTCCCCACACACCATCTTGGCATGTGTTTGAAAGTCTAGCTTAAAAGGATTTTAACTTTTCAGCCTTGCTGTTTTGTTTCCTTTGGAGACATTTGTAAAGATGTTGTCGGCAGATTTGTAGGAAACAAAGCAGCATGAAGGAGTGAGGGAATAGTTCTGAGCACTGCCAAGAGCTAGAATAGCAGCTTGGAGCCTATGCAAAATAATTCAGCAGGCATTTGAATTCAATACAAGGTAAAAATTAACATTACAAATCCCTTTTTATTCTTACTGCTGCTCTTAGACCAATCGTTAGGCAGACTCATTCAGTCTGCTAGAGAAGAACTGACAGCGGATCCCAAGAGTCAATAAAAGAGGTCTTGAGAAATCAACCCTCTGCTAGAAACACTGGAAATTTCATATTTAGATATTCTAAGCAGAAGGTTGGAGGGGTTCTTCTGTTTCCTTTTCCTTTCAAATTACTTACGCATATTTAAAAGAGAATATACAACACACACACACACACACACACACACAAACACACACACACACACAGAGTGAGAGTGAGAGGGGTGGCGGGAAGGAGGGAGAGAGAGACATGATTACCAAACTCTGTTTTGCAAAATGGTAAAGATTATCATTCTAAAGCAGATTACAAGTCATGTATTTGAATTCTGTAGTTTTATAATCTGCTGCAGGAGAAAATTTAAAATTCCTTGTTTCACCACTTTTTTGCTTGCATGATTGGGCGTGTGGTATTTGTTTGGACTGTTGTGGGTGGAATTGTGGGAAGTGGAGGTAATGTTGTGTAATTGAATCCTGAAGATTTTGCTGATGGACAGTAGCATCTTTTGATTTAGGTAAGCAGGCTGGTTAGACCTAATGATCCCCCATTGTTGTATGAAATAAGCCAGTGTTTCTCAACTATGGCTACATGAAGATGTCTATACTTCAACTCCCAGAATTTCTTCTGGGAGTTCTGGGAGAATTTCTTCTGTGAGTTAAAGTCTACATGTCTTCAAGTAGCCAAGATTGAGAAACACTGAAATAAGCAATTCATTTTTCTCCAACTATCTCCAACTTCAGATGCTTCTAGTAGTGTTGTTGGAATGAATGTGGCATTAAGATGCAAAGTACCAAACAGTTCTCTCCCCAACTAATCATTCTTTTTCTCTGCTCTTGCTCTCCCATTTCAACAGGTGGAGACTTTGAAAAAGAGAGCAACTAGTAATGGAGAACCCAGAATGTTATAAATATACAGTATAATACCCCCAGGGAATTTCTTGCTCTATGAAATACTGTGCTCTTGTTCTTCCATGCATCCCAGATTCCTAACCCTTCTTCATTTAAAAGTATGCAGTTAGGCTCAGTAGAACACATGGGAGATAATAAAAAGTCACTAGTTGCATATGAGTTGTAGGAATGCATAATCCCTTCTTATCAGCAACTTTATATCATCCTGGGAACTAGAGTCAAAGATCATTTCCTTTCAGAGCCACAGAACAACTTGCAGCTATTCCCCTTAGTGATGCTAGTTTCATAACTGGAAAAAGCACATAAACACATGACAAATGTGTCATGACAATGGAATGCAGGCAGGGACCACATCCCTAGAGGGATTAATTCTATGGCCAGCATTTTATATCTTTTTGTGCTGCTCTTTTTGTGTAAAGAAATGTTTGCCATATCTATTTCTCCCACATTAAATTATAAGTCCTTCCGTGCTCGCTTCGGCAGCACATATACTAAAATTGGAACGATACAGAGAAGATTAGCATGGTCCCTGTGCAAGGAACAAAATTATAAGTCCTTCCTTCCTTCCTTCCTCCCTCCCTCCCTCCTTCCCTCTCTCCCTTTCTTCTTCTCTCCCTTCCTCTCATCCATCCATCTATCCATCACAATTTAGTTCTTGTTCAAAACACATTATACTGTAGAACTAAGTGGGAACCTTTCCAGAACTGCACACAAAGAACTGCTGGATTTCAATATTTCCCATTTCCAAACATTATATTTGGGTTCATGTTGTGCACAATCAATACATAAACAATCACTTAAATCCTGTTTGGGGTTACCAATTTGCAGCAGGATTTTTGATGTGAAAGGCTGTCGTATGTTTCCATTTTAAATGCTCTTTTTCTTGGTTTTCATTGTAACAAACTATTAGGGATGATTGGGGAATTGCACTTCTTCATCTGAATGCAGGTTTGGCAGTAAATTTTCCTCTCTTTTTTTAAAAGAGAAAAGAAGTGTGTGTGCTTGGCTGTGGCTCTGTTTATTCCTTTTTGATTCTGTATACCATATGCTAAAATCATCACAGGGTTTATTAGTCAGTGGAGGTCAATTGAGAAATTGCTGTATTTGCTTTCATAATAGCACTGCATGCTATATGCCCTGCTTGAGCCGAAAATCACACAATGATTTTTATTTGTCTCCAATCACAAACAGATGTGGAACAGTCAGGTCATTTCCCCTTAAATGGACTATAGGGATTAAAACATTCAAAGAAGTTTCCAACTAACTAGTATCTTTTTATTCCGTCATTATGCCTCTTCAGACTTTGAGGGAATGAAGATGTTCTTGTATTTAAATTTGTCTTTCACGTCAATATATCTACTGCCCTCTTTGTGCCTTTGTACTTACACTTTGTTCTTTTCTTTTCCAGAATATTTCACCATTGAATACTTGTGTAAGTTCACGTGAACAAAAATGTCAGAGCTGATTTAATCTAGTCCAGGAAAATAGGAAGAAGGAATGGCAGCAATGATGGGGAATGTACTTGTTTAATTCAATTGCTGCTAAAAATGAGTAGAATGTCCTTATCCTTCAGTACAGTAGCGGCACTTTTTTAAAAAGTTGGATTGCAACTTTTAAAGGGATCAAATTTGGATCTGAAAAATGTTCCAGAAAAGTACATCTGAAGCTAACCCAAGTATCAAATTAGACTTTATTTCATTCACTATCAATTAAATATAATCAATACAGGCTATTTAAGTGAGCTATTAAATTATTTTCCCCCTCTCTCAGCATTTATACAAAACCCATTTCCTCTTTCTTCCTTAACATGTGTGGCTGATCTCTCCCAGCCACACCCTATGTATTGGACTTCTTTGTCATCTGTCCACTGTGTAAATTTGACCTTTCTCCTTGTCCAAGTGTGGATATTTGACCTCTCCCATATATCCACGGGGCTAGGCCTTTCCCTGTCAAGCAGGTCTGATTCAATCAGAATAGAGTTGGAAGGTCTTTTGGAGGTCTTCTAGTTCAACCTATGTCATTTCAGACAAGTGACTTCCCAATCGGTTTTCCCTCTTCCTCTCCCATTCAAATTCTACATTCATTTCCCCCTTCTTCGTAGTCATATGAAGGAAATGCTCCTTGTTTAGATACTATGCTTGGCTTTCCCTGCTTACGTATAGATGCTTCCTCACTCTTCTCCTTGCACTGTCTTTTCAAAGTTACAATATTAAGGGAAGTTATGAATCGCTATGTTTAATGGATATTGAAAATCCCCTGATATGATCATATGGAAAGCCACTTTATACTGAACGATACTAGCAATTCCTCTATTATGTACCTGTTTATGCTGATTGGCAGCAGTGCTTTTCTTTCTGAGCTGGCTTTACCTTGAAATGTTAGGGATTGGATTTATTTTGCAAAGTCCAAGGATGGTCTCTAATTCTAAAATGCAGCTGCTCTAGGAAAAGATTCAAGATCCTTTGCAGGCTTTCTCAGATAGAAAATTGATATTTGGATACATTGATTAATACATCTGCTTGATTTGAAGCAAGGCTATTTGCACTGCATTTATAAGTATAGAGTTATTTTTATGTAATGTAAAAGACCAAATATGAAGTCTAATATAGTGTATACATATTCATATATACATATTTAAATATTTTGGGAAAAGATAAGAACTGTAAGATTCCAATAAAGGAAAAGTTGTAGCTCCAGTTGGAAATGAAGGGTCCCTGGTGCTCTCTAAGCTTGGTTGTTTTCTTGCAGACTTTTCATTATCCAAACTATGTAACACCATCAGTGCTATTAAGGAGTGGGGTTCGCTCTCATTTTATATTGACATGGCAAGTCACTAAATATAAATTGAGACCAAATATAAATTGAGACCCATCTTTACTAGCACTAATATTGTTACCTAGTTTGGGTCTGCAAGAAAACAACTGAGTTCAGAGGGTATCAAGGACCCCTCAACTGTAAAATTGGTTGCAGGATTCAATATGGGTCAATCACTGGGACCAGATATTTTGTCTTTCAAACTTTTGGACTCATGCTGGAGGCCATCTTCAGGGAACTTCTCTCTAGCAGAGTGCGTGAGGCTTGTTCACTGCAATGCACAAGGACAAACATTCAATTTTGCAGTTATCAAGATTGTTGGATTAGCAGGCACAAAAACAGCCAGGGAAATGATTGAAGCCAGGGAAACAGGCCTCTTGTCAGTCAAAAGGAGTGTTAATTTACTATCACCCTATCAAGTACTTTAGAAGGTGAGGGTTGGGAACCACACACAAATGACAGCTTAAAAGTCAGCCATCAACATGCCCCAATAAACGTCCAAAAAGCCACCTACAAAAGGCACTATAAATACCATATAGCACACATTCTGCTGAAGAGAAGTTTCCTGAAGATGGCCTCCAGTACAAGCCTGAAAGCTTGGAAGATAAAACCTCTGGTTCTGGTGACTGACCCAGATTTGATCCTGCAACATTATTCTTTCATTTGTGTAAAATTAGTTAATACCAGAACCATTTCTTTTATGGCCACAAATTTGGAATCATCTCTAGAAATCTGATTCCATTTTTAATTGATTAAAAAAAAACTTTCAATATTCTTTCATGTGGTTTAATATATATTTCTTTTCACTATTTTTAATATCTATTATAGCAATAGCGCTTAGACTTATATGCCATCTCACAATGCTTTACAGTCCTCTCTAAGGGGTTTGTAGAATCAGCATATTGCCCCCAAAATCTGGGTCCTTATTTTACCAACCTTGGAAGGATGGAAGGCTGAGTCAACTTTTAGCCAGTGAGAATCGAACTGCTGAACTACTGGCAGCCAGCCGTCAGCAGAAGTATCCTGCAATACTGCATTTTAACCATTGTGCCACCACGACATGGTTATTTTTCAATATTTTCTGTGCTGCTTTTCTTTGGCAAATAATAAAGGATAGATCTGGGATACAATAAAAATAAAGGGAAAATTTTCAAATATAAGCAAATAAAGTGAAGTAAAAGTATTTTATCCTTTGATTTTGGGTATATCTAATTAGAATTTACTCATTAAGAAGATATCCATTGTAAGAAGTAAGTGCCCAGCCTTGAGATGTTTGAATGTTAATTTTAGTCAGCATTTCAAATGGCAAGTGACTAAAAGAATTTTAGTGCAAACTTGTGAAAACCACATAACATATTCTTCTTTCAACTATATTCAAATTATCTAAGATAATCATTTTCATTTATTTCATTTAAACATATTGATAGGACCATTTTCCACCAATGGCATCAGATAATTTCAAATTGCTCATACCAGATGTATGGGTACTATAGTTCTATTCTTCCCACACAAGTTAGGAAAATTATCCCCAGTTGACCTAAAACAAGCACTTATGTTTTAATGTCCTTCCTCTATTGATAAATGTCCTTCCTATCCTTTGCAAAATAATGACTTCTTAAGTAAAGGATACTCCAGTAGAGCAATGTGTTCTGCAAGACTTCAGGATAGTTCAACATTATTATTTTGCAAAAGTTTCATTTTGATTGAATTGATCTTTGTTTTATATTGCATTTTTCCTAGGCATATTAGCCAGCATTCTCTAACATCCAAAACTGAAGTGCTCATTTGTTACATCCTTGCCATATTTCCTACCTCTCTAGGCTTCTTTGTATTATTATTATTATACAAACCTGTTCCTGGATGCTAGATAATGAGAGTATGTTCATGTCTAGGGCTTATTTTTATTGAATTGTGGTGAAAATTGTACCTTCAGGTGGATTTATTATATTTAACTACTTAACAAGGATTTGTTAAAATAAACAGCATAGGAATCAAGATAGCCTTTTATTTGGGATAATTTCACATGAGACCATCAAACTGTTTTCAAAACATTATCATATTTTAGACTTATAACATTAAAATAAGTCTCCTCCTACTTTTTATTCAAGGGATATTTATTCATGCAACATCGAGGATGTTGTTATTGTTACCCCATTGCTATATTTTAATATCCCTCTTTTGAGATTTTTACAATATATATTAGAAGAAGGCAGAAGAAATTTCAAGAAAATAACCTGCTTTATGGCAACATTTTTAGCCATAATTCCACAGCTATTTACCTCCACTTGGCTAAAACTAGCACAGCTTGTGTGAACCCAATCAAAAGGAGTATCTGGATTACAATCTAATGCATGTATCTGTAAATATATGCAGATCATGTACAACATTCTGTATCTGAGGAAAGGAATATCAAGATTTACATAAAGTCAACTAACTATAGGAGGTGGGTCATAAATTTCTATGTTATTTAAAATTGTACCATGCCTTTCTACCCTGGGGCACTCAGGTGGGTATTTATTTAAAATACAGTAAAATAATCTTGATGTTTACAATAAACAGGATTTTCATGACCATAATGCCTCAGCAAGATTGATTGATATGTCAGCATCTGTAGATTCCTGATTTGCATGGAATGTAATCCATTTAACATCTCTTAGGAGAGTTAACAATCTGCTCACTGTTATCATAGCATTTCATTTTTTTTGGAACTCTGCCTTGTTTAACAATTTATATCATTTGTCTCTTTCTGAACCTCA